GATTACCAAGGACGCTAGACTACGAGAATCTCACCTCGCCCTTTCGGACGAGCCTGCAGTTCCTTAATTCGGCACAAGTGCCAAATCGAGGTTCGAGCACTTAGAGACAACTAGTCTAACGCTACCCTCAACGACACAGTGGGGTTCCCAGGAACCGCTGAATCGGATTACCAAGGACGCTGGAGTACAAAAATCTCACCTGGCCCTTTCGGACGAGGCTGCAGTTCCCCGATTGAACACACTGACTGCAAAACTTGGAAACGCGACTCTAGTGCAACGAACAAAGTAACAATAGTAACATCGAACGAAAGGAGAGGAGAGATGAGGGATTTCTAATTTCGCTCCAAGTTCGATAAACCTGTTTTTGTACAGAATGCGTTTACAAAGGATGTACAGAGATTATCTAAAACTAAACGCACGCAACTTAAAGCTAAGACGCACGCATCCCACGATGTCCTCGTGTTCCGCGGTCGATGTGCATATGACGGATGTTCAGTTGGTAATGAGCCTCTTTACCACTCAAGGTTAATCTAATATATCTATCGTCAGTGATCCGGAACCGTTGATAACTTTTTTTCAAACTTCTAAAATTTAATCTTTGTGTACACATCGGAAGTTGAATTGATAATGAGCCCTCCCTACCGCTTAATCTAATGTTTCGGTCGTCGGTGATCCGGAACAACTGGTAATTTTTTTTTAGTTTTATTTCTAAAAACAGTTTTTCTATTATACTAATCAATAATTTAGTAATTTTTACATTTGTGTCGCATAGTTACTTCATGTATATGTTACAACGTTAAACGTAATATTTTGTTAATTTTTTATCGGCTAATACTGAGTTTACATTTTTGGGATATTAATTTTTATATTATAGCTGCATCGATGTACATTGAATAAAAATTTATGTAGAGAAATTTATGTAGTCAAAGATTATATCACGCATTTCCGTTTATTAAAGGGATTGAATTTTATGTTAAAGCAGTACTAATATCTACTGGAGTCAAGCAAATACAAATTGATCTGGCATTCAATGTGCGAGAATTAATGTAAAATATAAAATAGTTTGTAGTATAAATTATATAACTGATGTATATTCGAAGAATTGCGTTAAGTCTAAATCATTCGAAAACTCGCATTGAATTGCCCGTTCAGTCCCTTCTGCTGATTATCGTTTTGTTTGACATAAAGCAGCAACCTATTTTTTTTTTTAAGAATCGTAGTCTTCGACAAGTGTTTGTGTCTCCCCTACCACGCGGATACTACGGAATTTCTTTACAATCCTGTCAAAAATTTAACGACATATTTTTACATACTTTAATGATATTTTATACAAATTCAAAACGATATATTCTCGTTGAATATTGAATGGTCATTCTCATTCTCTTTCCAATTGCGTTCATCACTATTGTCATCGTGCAGAATGACAAATGAAAAGCGAGTTAAAGGGACAGTTTAGGATTTTCTGACGAAAGCAGTCAAATCTAAAAACTTGGCATAGTTGTCACATTTTTATTACTGTTTCACCGATCAATTCTGTCCATGGAATGATAACTAATTTATAATTAGTCAATGGATAGAACCAGTAAATTAATTAAATTTTAATAAATTAAAATAACGATGTAAGTAATTTAATTTTTATTTTATTTATTTATATTGTTTCATGTGATCAGACAGAAATCAACTCCAATAAATTGTTTATTTCTTAAATCTGTATAAAAATGAACGTATATATACAAGAATGACAGGAGAATAAAGTCTTGTAGTTAATAATAATTTGTAATTCCATACTTACTTTTTTGTACGTAGAGTATATTCATTTTAAAACTACTGTATATGTTCATTTTTGTATATAGATTTTTATTGGTAGAAAAGTAAAACTTTATAAATTCCCTGTAATTATTTCGCCTAAAACTGTTAAAGTTGTTTGAATGAATTTTGAATGACGCGCATAAAATATTTCAATTTTGCGCGCCGCTTTAAGCTAGTGCATATAAGTGCCTGCCCTCTACTGACGCTTACGTTAGCCAATAGGAAAGCGGCTAGAGGAGAACTGGGTGGAGCATGCCATCATGGCGGAAATCGTTGTGTCAAGATTGTTTTGACACGTA